TCAGTCTGGACTAAAAAGACTATCCAGTGTTATTTTACATTGGATTACTTCAGTCAGTTTCTGTAGTATTTCTGACATACCCAAAAAACTACCCCAAAATGTCTCTTAATTTGTGTCTTTATTCTATTGCATTTATTTGTGCTACTTTTTTCAATTTAATTCAAAGATTGAAATCAAGCTTCCATACATAAACTCTTAAAACAAAAATAAACAAAAAATTACATTACCATTTAGGTAAGATCAATGTAAAAAAAATGTCTAAATATTTATATATTTATTTATCTATATCTATCTTAAACATAAAATAACATGATACTGTTTGATCAAGCTGTGCGATTGTTCTGACTTTTTTTTGCATATTGCATCAAAATCCTGTTTATTCTTTGTATGCATTTAGTAAATAAAAAGAGTTTTATATACAGGTTTATGGCTCTTAATTTCCTTGTATTAATTAACCACTAGTAAATATAGGATTTATATTACATCTTCATTATAGTCGAATCGAGAATCAAATCAGGAATCGAAATCGAAAATTGAATCGAGAATCGAAATCGAATCGAACTGAGAGCTTGTGAATCGAAATTGAATCGAAATTGAAATGTGAATCGATACCCAGCCCTAATGGCAAGTGAGCCAGAAGAGGAGTTGCAGGCATTTGGTAGGTATCAGGTGAACAATTGTTTAAACTTGTACTGTGTTGTTTATTTTTTCATGAATAGGACATTAACATATAAATATATACATACAAAAATAATTTATTTTTTTTCTTGTTCTTAGACGATTTGTTCAATCAAATTGAACAACATGAGAAACAGCGTGAGCAATTTTATTCGGGGCCACGAGGTAAGCAATAGGTCATAAGTTTACATCCAAGTTTTGTTGTTGTGTTATTATTTTGTTTAATGAATTGTTGTTCTTTGTTTCCACTTTCCTTTTTTTTTCATTTGCCAAGGGGACACAGACCTCACCACTGTCGACTTCAGTCAATTGTTTAATTTGTTTAATTTATTACTTTATATATTTTAAATATTTGATGTTATAGTTTTATATTTATATTAATCCACATTTTATTTTGTTCTATTCTGTGTTCTGTTCATTCCCTTTATTTTTACTCTACTTTTCTGTTCTGTAATCATGTGATTTTATAAATATACTTAATTAAAGTAGTTCAATCATGTTTAAATAAAAAAAAAATTGTTCAAACTATGGTTTTGACTGTCTCTTTGACTGTCTCAGCTTATTTGACAGGGTCCCTATAGGCTGTTTGTGGACAGCACATTAAAAGCTCGTATTCCGTAAATACAGCGGTTATATGTGGTTCACTGCTCACAGGCATCACAATACAACACACTGATGTACAGTACAGCCATTGATTGTGTGTTATTAGCCTAAAAATGGACTGTCCACAGACAGCCAACAGGGATCCTGTCAAATAAGTTGCACGTGGGCACAATATGTAGTCCCATTGGGTCTCTTTTGTGCCCACCTGCAACTTATTTGACAGGGTCCCTGTAAGCTGTCCGTGGACGTGTCATTTCAAGGAATGTCATGCATCATTGCGGACTGTAAAGTACCCCAACACGTCTGATTGTATTTCCTGTGCACTGCATGGCATGTTTTAAGTGATAAAACATTAACAATCACGAATTATGACCTAAAAGTGCATTGACCATGAACAGCCTAAAGAGGTCATGTCAAATGAGTTGCAGGTGGGATGCTGTTTTACATTTTGGAGTCATGACTGACAAAAGTGAATAAAAATGATTAAATATCGATTTTACGTCAATCCCTGGGCCCCCCTGAGCGATTTGCAGCCTTCAGAACACCGGGACTCCACTGTCCACGAACGGCCTACATTTTTGAATGGGATAAGTTGCAGGTGGGACGTCCAGATCTCAGCCTCTGGACAGAATTCGGAGCTGAAACCTGCGCTCCTGCGCTCATCTGGACGTGCTCAGGCAGTGCAGTGAATTTCAGGGAGTTTGGAGAAACTTGAAAATTTTTTAAAAACCCTTTGAGTTTTTTTGGGTCGAATTTTCAAGTTTCTCCAATCTCTTCCAAATTCACACCATGGATAGGGCATGTCCAGAGAAATGCAGGAGCGCAGGTCTCATATCCAAATTCTGTCCAGAGGCTGAGATCTGGACGTCCCACCTGCAACTTATCCCATTCAAAAATTTAGGCCGTTCGTGGACAGTGGAATTTCGGGGTTCTGAAAGTTGCAGATCGCTCAGGGGGGCCCAGGGATTGACGTAAAATCGATATTTAATTATTTTTATGCATTTTTATCAGTCATGACTTCAAAACGTAAAACAGCATTCCACCTGTAACTTATTTGACGGGACGTGGTCTCATAGGCCGTCAGGGGGACGAATAGGCCGTTCGTGGTCACATAGGCGTTCAGGGGGACGAATAGGCAGTTCGTGGTCAGTGGTCGGGTCCCCGGGCCGTCACCTAGATTGGCGGTGGACGCGTAGGCCTTTCTTAGTCACATAGGCGGTCAGGGGGACGAATAGGCCGTTCGTGGTCACATAGGCGGATAGGGGGACGAATAGGCAGCTCGTGGTCAGTGGTCGGGGCCCCGGGCCCCGGGCCATCACCTAGATTGGCGGTGGACGCGTGGGCCTTTCGTGGTCACATAGGCGGTCAGGGGGACGAATAGGCAGTTCGTGGTCACAAAGGCGGTCAGGGGGATGAATAGGCCGTTCGTGGTCACATAGGCATTCGGGGGGACGAATAGGCAGTTCGTGGTCAGTGCTCGGGTCCCCGGGCCGTCACCTAGATTGGCGGTGGACGCGTAGGCCTTTCGTGGTCACATAGGCGGTCAGGGGGACGAATAGGCCGTGCGCATTCACATAGGCGGTCAGGGGGACGGATAGGCGGTTCGCGGTCACGTAGGCGGTCAGGGGGACGAATAGGCGGTTCACGGTCACATAGGCGGTCAGGGGGACGAATAGGCCGTTCGTGGTCACATAAGCAGTCAGGGGGACGAATAGGCGGTTCGCGGTCATGTAGGCGGTCAGGGGGACAGATAGGCCGTTCGTGGCCAGTGGGCGGGGCCCCGTCGGCCCCGAAAAATCGCCTAAGGGGCGCCGCTTGCGGGTCAGCTAACCTCCTACCACCGACCGCGCTTTAGGCCGTCCGGGGACCCCTTCCCTAACCCGGCGGCCTAAAGGGCGCAATGGTTTGTGGGCAATATCAGCCGTTAGAGTGTGCATCGTTCTACACTTTGGATTCTGACTGGAAAAAGTAACCAGCCAGGTATCTTTGAAACACTCATTTCAACATACTACGATTTGGGACGTACTAATTCTATTTTCGAAAACTATTTAGGACGGATAGTATGCGAATTGGGACGCAGTATAAGAAATGTTTTTGAATGGCGGTCAGTGAATCGTTTACAAGCAAATCCAATTAATAAACACTGTGATGCTTTGTTTGAAACCATTTTTGTTAAAGGTGCATTGCGCAACATTTCATGTTAAAAATAGCCGTTTTCTAACCCATACATGCTTAAACAATCGCCTGATGAGCTGAATGAGCCCTTCTTTGATCACTGCGATCGCCTCTATAATCCTGTACAGTGAAATATATAAGAGGGATTCGGGCTCAAATCTGAGACTGGCCGTGACATCATGCGCGTTCACGCTCGCCTGGCTATGTCTGGCAGATTCGTAGCTATTCGCCGCCGTTCTCCGTATCAGAGAAGACAACTCGAGCGACACAACTCTAGTCAGCTTTCCACAAAAGTAGACGATGGATTCAAAGGGGGTCACTTCATGTGTTTTCTGTGGTCGGATAGCTCAGGGGTTCCCAACCTTTTTTGTGCCAGGGGCCGGCATATTCATAAAAAAATTTCCAGGGACCAGCTGTCAATTTGAATACCTCAATTTTAAGATGCATCGTTTGGATTCGGAACATATCACTGTGCAAAACAGTAACAGGATATAATTTATTTGCATATAATGAACTTGGGGGCAACAAAGGCTCCTTGCATACCAATCTTTTTAAACTTTCAGAACGGTTCACAAAAAGTTTCTCTTTTCTCCCATTCAATTAGGTCTACTTCAAAAGCCACTCACATAGCACTCACTCACTAGCAGGTGCATAGATGTTTGAACCCCCACCCCCGGCCGCCCCCTAACTTCATAAGGATTCAATAAGGATTATGCATTAGCATGCATTGTGCATTAGCATGCAATTTATATACAAAAATTAGTTTTTACGTGCATTTGATACGCAGAAAACTTAATAATTGGTCAGAATTATGTCTGACCGATTCCAAATGTTTTCCGATATATGGTGACCCAAGAACTGATGGACCAAAGAGCGCAAATTTCGACATGTGCAGTAAAAACTTGTTCTCAGAAAGAAAAAAAAATTCTCAGAAAATGCATTTTAATACTAATTTATTGAAAAGGCTGTTTATATACTCCATTAATAAAGGAGTTCAGACAAAGGAAACAGTCGACATGCGTTTTTATATTTAATATGAGGGAAATAGACATGCATGCGTGACAAAAAATCTTTAACTTTTAGGTAGCAAAATATTTTTTAGAAAATTCTACTAGACTAACATCACTCATAAATCCTGAAATTTCACACATCTCTTGAGTTTTATTAAAAAACCTTTAACTTTTAGGTAGCTAAATATTTTTTAGTAATTCTCTCAATTACACTTAAGGTTAGATTTCATTGAAGGTAAATTGGACACTGACGCCCAAAGACGTGAAGTGAACGAGACAGAGGCTGTCCGGTACTGTCAGAAATAGTTAACTCTGTGGCGATGCATGTGCAAAACTAATAATAAAGTCAACCAGGATACATAACACAGCCTACTAGGCCTATACAGTAACAGTTTCAGAATACAATAGCAAACACACCGTGATTTGGATGTTTGGTGAAGTGCCGCTGCAGTTTTGACGGCTTCATTGCTTGATTGGAGAGTTTTTCACCACAAATACTAGGTATGTTGACATAGCAACCACACACGGCGGACATTCTGCCTCAATAATTTGTTCCAAACTCTGCGGTACTGTTTAGATGTGTGTCATGCAATATCCACTCCTCGCCGCCTGGTGTGAATATGTTTTTCCTGAATACGATAGTAACTACGACGAGTACAACCCCGTGAAGCATTAGACATTTCGAGCTTTCAGCCCTGAGGTGTTTTCAGATCACCGCAACTCACGGGACATTTGAGTGGCTTTCAACCGGTCGGTGGGCTCATCTAAGCTTTTGGACACTAATGAAAGGTAGGTGGACATAAATATATACCTTTTATCTCAGTACTGACGAAGTTTCATCGAAATCCATGGTGGAGAATGTATTTAAATAAATCGCGGAAATATTGTTGGTCACATTTGTGATGAGATTAGCGAACGTCCTGTCAGAGAAACTAGCAGCGTTCTAAAAAAACAAAACAAAAAAAAAACTAATTCTCACGTTGTTCTCCTGGAAATTGTTACTGATGCTATGTAAGTTTAATATGCATCTCATGGTTTTCCTGACATAATAATAGCATTAGTTTACATCATAACTGATTATGAAATGAAAATCTTTTTATTTAATCTCCTTAATTTGAAAATGTATTATTCTCAGGAATTTTCTTCTTGCATTTTCCAAGATATATAAAATATTCTCAGTACTTCCAATAAATTATTAAATATTTCCATGTAGCAATGTGGATACCCCTGTTTGGGAATCACTTCTCTAGCTGAATATATCAAATCCTTACAATTCATAACTGTGTATATAATTTAAAAGTGGCATTTCATTGGATCTATAAATGTGATCAAAAAGTTATGCTAATGTGTTGTCTGTATTAATTTCGTTTACTAGTTTACCCGAATTATCTTGGAAAACAAGCCATGTTGATTAGTCTATTTATGTCTAATTTCCCTGAATCTTATAGATTATGTAGACTAATATTTGATGTTATGTCTTTACAGCTAATTATGAAAAGAAGAAAGAGGAGGATGAAACAAGGAGAGCCACAGGAGGAATTGCACAAACGTCAAGCCACAAAAGAAAGATAGAGAAGTGAACAAGAACGGAAAGTGTTAGAGAAAAAGATTGAAGAATAGGTGCAGACAAGATCGAGGAAGTGTTTCCAGAACTCCCTAAAAAAAATTAGCTTGATCAAGGAGTTGTTGGGTGGCCTATTAGGGGTGGGAGCAATTATATGTCATGCGTGGGATTTGGGTGGAAACTGGGTAATTTTCAATGGGAAAATTGAAACTTTCAAGGCAAAAAAAACCAAGAAATACACTGTTGGCTATTGGGACATGAGTGGGGAGGGGTATGAATTTGATGCACATGACACTGATGTGTCAATCTATGCGATGGCAGCAGATATCATCTTGGATGACTTGGTTGTACAATAGCTTGTCAAAGTTACCAACTCAGTCAGCACCATCACACAGATATCCTGTATATATTTGTACCGATCATTCATTGTTAGAAAAAAAAGAATGAATATGAATGTATATTTGCATATTTAAGCATGTATAAATATGAATTCACAATTAATAGTAATAGTAATAAAAAGTTGTCTTTGCTTGTATTTTGAAAATAAATGTGTATAAATGTGAATGAATGCTTAATAATTATTATTGTTTTTCGTGAAGGGTCTAATGCCCATTCCAACTAAAGTAAATGTTCATGGTTTCATTTTATAGAATTAACTAAAATCTACCGTCTGTTCAAATTTCATGCAAATATCTGATAAAATGAGGAAATTACAGCAAAAACATGTCAATAATAGGAATTTTCGATCACATGCTTTCTATTGTAACTAATGTATATTATTTTAATGTTATTCAGGATGTTATAAATATCATTACTTTCTCAATCCTCAACCAATTTTCACAATCCATGTGTCATTTTAACGGAAATTTTCAGCTCTGTGCAGTCATGTGATTAATTTTGAGCTTAGAGGTGTTCTCTTTCATCATCTCGTGTTCGAGATCCACCTATGGGAAGGGCATCCGTACCTGACCTCTGCAGAAGCATCCAATTGCACCAAGTCTGGCTAGACAGACAGAAGCGCGCGGCCAATGCCCGATGAGGCCACACCCCTCACCCACGGGCATATAACATCTGGGCGCGCTGCTATTCCTCAGTTGTCATTCGCTTCTCGCGATCTCTGCAATCTCAGCTCAGTTAGTTTTTACTCTGCTCACCTCGTGTCTACAGGAAGACATATCGGCCTGATCAGCCTCCACCGGACGTGACAGATTAATTTCAACTGCTGCTGTGCATTCGGAGCCGCCCACGCTCTCGCTATTTCTCACCGTTCTACATCACGGCCTTTTGCCACGGATTTCTCCCTCGCTGGTATGTCTCTGTCTAAGCCTACGGCATCATCTGGGGATAGCTTTTCACGGGCCTGCCCGGCCGCGTGTGGAGCCCTTATCGCGGCAAAAGACCTCCACCAGCTTTGCTTTGTCTGTTTGGGTCCTAAGCACGCTCGGGAAGCCCTTGAGAACCCAGATAACTGCAGTTTCTGCCTTTTACTGCCTAGGAAACTGCTTAAACGTCGATTCAAGGTAGCAGTGACACAGTGCTCCGAGCTCAGCCCCACGGGCTCAGACTCGGACGGGGGACACGGTGATGACGACGCGCCACCGAGGGCCTCTCGGGACGCTTCGTCGCTCGTCTGGGCTGACCAGCCCAATCCCGCCTTCCCCGAGGAGGACATCTTCGGGGATAACCTCGCTCTCGCCCACGAACGGGCCGGTTCTGGCGAAGAGGAGGATGCGGCCATTCTTGGGGTTTCAGAGGACGAGGAGGCCTTCCCGCCCTCTGTCGTTCCCCAGATTACCGCTCACGCGGCTCTTCCTCAAGCCATCCTCCTGGAGGTGTGTGAACGAGCGGCCGCTCGTCTCAACATCGAATGGCCAGCACCTCAGAGCGCCACCGACCAGAAGAGGGATATTTATGATGGGAAAGTGTTGGGACCCCCTCCCGGCCCGAGGAAACAACTCTTCCCCATCCTCCCAGCGTGCGCTAAGCACATGAGGAACTATTGGAGCGATCCGCTCGACTTCAGACACGGTCTCACGGGACTCGAAGTTAAGGATATGGCAGCTCACGGTATGGGCGACCCCCCCGCCGTCGAGCCTTCTATCGCCAGGCACCTTAACCCGCTCAGGGTGGGCTGCTCGCCCCCCCCTAAGCCAGTCCTGCCCAACAAAATGGACCGTTTTGCTGCGTCCGTTCACCAGGCAGCGTATAAATCCTCGTCTGTGGCTGTCAGGGCCCTTAGCGTTTCTTCGCTCCTCTCCGCCTGCCAGGCGGAGATCCTCGAAGAATTAGGGCAACAGCTAGAAAAAGGTAATCCTTCCGAAATCCTTTGGAAGGAGATCCTCACGGTGAACGACCTCGTCCTCCATAACGCCCGTCAGGCTGTCCAAGCGTGCGGGCGCTCCATGGCGCTCTCCGTGGTGGGAGAGCGCGCGCTCTGGCTGAACCTGTCGGGACTCCCGGACAGCGAGAAGCGGCACATCGCGGGCGCGCCGGTGGAGCCCGGCCGGGCTCTCTTCGGTCCCGCCGTCGCACTGATGCAACAACGGTGCGACGACAAGAAGAAGGAGGATGAGGCTTTCAAACTTTGCCTTCCGAGGAAGTCAGGCCCACGCCAGAATCCCCCTGTGCGTTCGCCTAACCCACCGGTCACGGGACGTCAGTTTCCCCAGGGCAAGGAAAAGTCCCGAAACAAACCGCCTTCACGACATCATAACCCAGCGCCCTCTAACAAACACTGGGTTAAGCCCGCTCCCGCCGCGGCCGCGGCTGGGAGACCTGCTAATTCCAACCCCACCGACCAAACGAAACGCAAGCGGCATGCCTGACGTTCAGCCGATGGGGACTTCCAGTCCACGTTCACGGGCCGCGAGCCCCTTGGACTCCTCTCTCCTTCTAGGACCCCCGTCCAAAAGACCCCGGGAGTCCCGCGGATGGGTCAGCTTGCCGCCTGTCGAGACTGCCCAGCCCGTGTGTTCAAGGAATGTGTGTTTTCCCCCCACGTTCAGGGGGCCTCTGGTGAGAGGAAGGTTAAGTTCAGTGTCAATACCACACTGCCCTCACTCTGTTCCCCTCACTCTTTGAATAAAGGCTTCGGCCCTGGCTTCCCCACTGGCTTCGGCCAGTGTTTGCCCAGCACAAAACACACAAAACACAAATAAAAACGAATCTAACAAATTCGTTTCGGAGGGAAAACCTCTCTCCGCAGAGAGAACTTTTCTCACTGCAGAGAGAGGAATCCCCTCCGAACCCCCGCATGTCGCCTCTAGTGTGCCCACGAGATGGCGCCATTGCATCACAAATAAATCTGTTGGTCTCAAGACACAGCTCCGCTCTGTCCCGAGCGGGGACACTCGCGAGTCACGAAGCGGCTTGGCGAACCGTTTCGGCTCCCGAGTGGGTTATGCGTACAATAATGCAGGGTTACAGATTGCAATTCGCAGTAAAACCCCCTCATTTCAACGGCATTCTCTTTTCTCACACGGAAGAGAAAGCCTCTCACATTCTGGAAGAGGAAATTTCATCTCTCTTAAACAAGGGAGCGATTCAGGTGGTACCCCCCAATCTGATGAACCAGGGTTTTTATTCCCGGTATTTTCTGGTTCCAAAGAAAGGCGCCTCTCTCCGCCCTATCTTGGACCTTCGAGTGTTGAACAAACATTTGAGGAAATACAATTTCAGAATGCTGACACAGGGCGCACTCGCCCGTGCCATAAAACAGAACGACTGGTTCACATCAGTCGATCTGAAAGGTGCTTTCTTTCACAAGCATTTATCCTCCGCACAGGAAGTTTCTTCGTTTTGCCTACCAGGGCATATGTTACGAATTCACAGTTCTTCCATTTGGACTCAGTTTGAGTCCCCGGTCTTTCTGTCTGTGCGCGGAGGCGGGCTTAACGCCTCTGAGAATAACAGGTCTGAGAATCCTGACTTACATAGACGATTGGCTCATCATAGCCGAATCGAAGGAGAAGGTGTTGCAGGACACCGGCCGTGTGCTCGCACACATCACATCGTTCGGGTTCCAAGTGAACGTGGGCAAGAGCAATCTCACGCCCAGTCAGAATGTCAATTTCCTGGGTTTGGAGTTGAACTCGGTTGCCATGCGAGCGCGTCTCTCTCTAAAGCGCGTTCGCTCTCTAATGAGCTGTCTGTCACAGTTCAGAGAAGGGGCGAAAGTGCAATATCGCACATGTCTCAGGATGCAGGGTCTCATGGCTTCATCCACCCAAGTTGTGCCATTAGAACTCCTGAGGATGAGGGCGTTCATGAAATGGGTTTTGTCGCTACATTTCAGCCCGATTCACGACCTTTGCCGCTCGGTTACAGTGACGCGCGCGTGCTCTGCAGCCCTGCGCCATTGGAAGAACGCAGACTTTTACGCATGGGGAACCCCTCTCGGGGCGGTTACGATGCGGAAAGTGGTGACGACAGATGCATCCTTAACAGGCTGGGGTGCCACCCAGGAGGGCAGAACGGTGAACGGTCTGTGGCCAAACAGACTACGTTCAGCACATATAAATTATTTAGAGCTTTTAAAGTCCCCGTGAAATCAAAATTGAACCTATTTACTTTGTTAACGCATATTACTAGTCTTGTGGTGAACAATTAATCCGTGCAAGTGAATATATATTAAAAAAAATGTTTTACCTTAGTAATCTTTAATCAAAATCTGAAAAGTTACTTCCGGACTGGAACGGTTTCTTTTTCCGATGACGTAGGTTTCACAGTTTGGGTGGGGAAACGCTTAACCACTCCCCTCAAACCGTTAGTTTGCTATGAGCGAGAGATGGAGAGGAGGAAAGAGCTAGAGTAAAACCCTGCCCTCTGTTCAATATTCCGTTTCACTTGGAAATACGTCACAGCACTGGAGAAATATCGTTTGCAACTTCCGGTTCACGGGGACTTTAACCATTTGGAAAGCTCTGAATCATTTTCTGCCTCGCCTGCAGGGACATCACGTGCTGGTACGGTGCGACAATACCACGGCTGTGGCATATATATCAACCGCCAGGGCAGCTTGCGCTCGTCGAAACTTCACCTTCTAGCTCACAAGTTC